TGCTACATTGTCAGGAATTTTTTGTAAGTAGAATACTACGTGTATTATTTGTTGCTTGTGGCATTTCAGGAGGCAGGACTCCTCTGAATACTGTACTAACTTAAAGACAGAACTGTGAAATGTGTTGTGACACTGAATATATTGCTGTTCTGTATATTCTATCCTTCCTAATATCTCCTGCCTGCGAACATCACAAAAGGAATATCTAAGCTAATGACGTATATTGCTCGAATTTTGTAGTATTTTTCCAAATCACAGGAGTCACAATTCTGACATAAATGCAAAGAAAAGTGCCCATAGCCTCAGCTACAGCCTTAATTACTTTACAAGGAGTTGCAGGATGGCTGCCATCTTGGACTGTATCAGTGATAGGATAATTAATTAATAGTGAAGTAGACTGCTGCCACTGTCAACATGCAACTAGAACTGAATCACATTATTCAGTCAGTTTATCAATATATTTTGCCACTATGGTAGTCTTAATAACCACTATTTTAAACAGAGTAAATTTGTTATCTACACGGTCTGGAAATCAGGCCATACACAAATATATATTATTTCACAATTGTATGTTTTTTTAGTTCATTAGATGGTTAAGGAGTTCTTGCATGGAGAATCTGCCCTGCCCAATGTATAAATGGAAAGAAGGAGTGACATGCTTTCAACTAAACTTTCTTGTAAAAGAGAACTTGTAACAGACTGTGTCAGACAGATGTTAATTATTTTCCCTCTGCAACTCACGTTCTATTTAAAGAGCTCATAAAACAAAACCCTCAATTTTATCATAAAGACTTACTGCTGCTATTTTATTTAGAAACTTTATCATATATTGTTCCTTTAATTCATTTCCTTTTTAAGCAAGAAAAACAGGATGTCTCAAGACATGGCAGATGAGATTGAGTTCAACTGTAGCAGTGAGATCAGTTGTACAAACCATATTGATTATGTTCTTAATGACTTGGTCAGTTAAGTCAAAAGCACTGAAGAATGGCCAATTAATATCACTGACATCTTGAAAGTAATACAGGAATTTTATTTCTAAATCTAGAAAAGGATATTCTCACTCTAAAAATACAATTACAACTCAATGAAATTATTCGAATGATAGAATATAGTATAATGACATGTTATGATAAACTTTGATTTAACTTCTGTGTATGTAGGCAATAACTAAACTTCTAATCCAGAACAGTTTATAAGTACAGGCTTATTAACTAAGGACATGCTTGGAGGAGATATGTTTATACGTGACTGAAGACATCCTTAACAGTATTGTTGGACACATTAAGTATATATTTTATAGAATGAAAGGATGAAGGAAACTACATATTTTCCAGTGGATTTTGAAGTTATGCCTCATGTAATGTATCACTGTTTATTTCCTCGTAATGTCTAAGTGACTTATGATATTATGTATACACTACTGGAACAGACCAAATGGGCTGGAACTGTAGTAGAGTTCTTGACTCATATTCAGGAGTTTCTTGGTTCTGAATCACAGCTAGGACACGGGCTGTCCTGATTGGGGTTTTTGTGGCATTCCTCAGTCCCTCCAGGCAAATGCCAGAGCAATACTTCAGTTAGAACATGACTGCTTCCATCCATCTTTCCACTTCATTATTCATCTCTCATTCTGCTATTGACAGCATACAGTCCAGTTAATAACAGCATCATAAAATAATCCAAAAGAAGCAAGCAATAAAAGAAGAAAAAGGAATTACTATTACAGTCTGTCCATTATTAATATGTTGCTGAACACTATTGAAATTAAAAGGGATATATGAACGAATTTCACTTGAATATGCCTTACAATTTTCATGGAGATGTGAATTCAAGCAGTTGCATGTATTGCTCTCTTAATTCATATACATAAAATTTCCAGTTGCAATATCTGATCTGTGTGGATATTGCTTACTTGCCTATTTAAAAAAAAATATTCCAGATCTTCATAATATAATTTAACTCCATTATAAATACTAACTACACATATTGACACAAGAATATTATAAAATGTCACAGACTACAAACAGTAAATTGAAAGAAAGGCTATTTCCTTGTTCCTAGCCTACTTCTATACACTTTTATGCAACCCACAAAATAGGTCTACATATATTCATACTTGGAAATTTGTTGCCTTGGTAACCAAGAGCACTAAAAAGATAGCAGCTGTCATAAATCTATTTGTAAAACTTTCGATTTTCTTAGCATCGGGCAATGTTAACTTTCAGATGAGTTGTGATACATCTCTGTGGGTGTTTCCATTCACAAACAAATTTAAATGTATGAAAACTTAATAGAACTGCACTTCAAACTTCTAAAAGAGAACCTGTTTGGCTGTGCCACCAAGAATGTCTGCAAGGCTGGTATGAAATAGGACTTCCTGTCTTAACTTCAGTAGATTCTTTATAAATGGATTCAGCAACACTTTTTAGTCTTGTAAAGTCGAAGTTAAGAATGTGTTGAGCTATACACTATTCTCCCATATGTCTTCATGTCTTGGGGTTAATTGGTTAAGCATAAGGACTATTTTACCCTTTGCACCCTGTTTAAAATCACTGATATCATCATAAAATATACTAGTTTAGAAACTGATCTCATATATACCCTAATGGATGGCATACAATGCAACCTCAAGAGTTTTTGTTTAAAGTTTCCCAGAAAATGGTTTGTACTAAATAGCCATTCTATACAGTGCTTGAGGTGGAATGAAAATAGAACCGGGATGCCATCCTGCCCACCTCAAGCCCTGGGTATTGTACATTGCATTTACTGCCAAAGAAGTAATGGGATGCTTTTAAGCCATTTAGAAAAGAACTGGGATGCCATCCCGCCACACCTCAAGCCCTGATTCTATATCATGCTACCTGTTTATATAATGGCTTCCCAAAGTTCAGAATAGGATCTGATGGTTCTTCAAAATTGAGAACTTGTATTCATCTGTTGTTAAGAGTGTAGCTTCATTAAAACAGAATATGCAGTGTTACTGAGCTCTTTTTCTCTTACCCATGGTCACTGGTTGCTGTCTCCATGCAGAATATTCTTAATCTCAGCTGTAGTTCTAAAGTATGTGTCCTCAACTGCTGCAATAATAACTCATATATTAGGGCATGGATATCTTGTTATTGTGGTTTTTTTCTTGGCATCAGAAATTTGGGGTGAAATACTTCAAACTGATAGTCAACATTCTAAAGATGTTGGTGCTTTTAATTGTTGATTATTGCTCCCACTTTGAGCTTTTATGTAACCCTGTGGCATGTGAAACCACATCGAAATATACAAGCATTTATATGTGAGTGCAGTGGAAACTCCAAGTTAGGCTTTGCAGAGAAGACCTAGCAAGAATTTAGGCAGCATTCAGTATAACTTCCATAAAGTAACAGAAAAAAAAATAATGGATGCCCACTGCATTTGTGTTGGTGTGCTTGGTAACACTCCCAAGCAGTTGTTGATAAAACAAAAGTTTGATGCAACCATGTAGGACTGATGCATAGTGTAGGTCTGTATTCATGTGTGAAATATTACATATTATATTGTACTGTTATAAAAAATGTTGATTATTAATGGGTGGAGAATGACTCAGAAATGTTATAGAGTTATAATTACTTTATTCTGTTATGATCAAAATTCAATTTTTCTTGTGTTAAATGAAAAATAAATTGTCTTGACAGTGTGCATTGTTGGAATTAAGGTACTGTTCAGGTTTTGCCGAAGATAAGTAATTATGAATGTTACCGGCATGTTTTTAACTGCAGTAAGAACTTGGCAAATCCAGAGATTTACATATCTATCATTGCCTTACCAAAAAAAAAAAAGTTTTACAGCTGTACTTTTACAAGTTGATTTTAATTTACAAATTAAAGGGTGATCTTACCCTTTTAAAATCCCTAACCCATGACCTCCACTTGAGATATTTGAAGAGACGATCTCCTTTGCCCTGATGCCTATTTTTCAATTTTTACAAATGCGGTGGACACTGTCAAATTGTAAATATGCCACTGTGAAGCAACTGTGACAGATTGTTTTGTAATAAACCAGACTTCCAAGTGATATTTTGTCTCTGTTCATTAGCTACTGTCTGCCCTTTCTTCCATCCTGTTTTCCTTAAACAAAATATTTCCTCAGAATATGATTTATTAATTGATGCTTTTTCCCTTTCAAAGAGAGATGATGTTGACTATCTTCGTTGCTGCTTAATTCTGCAGCATTTATAGCTACAAAAAGTTGTGTGCATTACACAAAACATCTGAAACACCTCTTCTTTCTAACTACATTGAGTTGAGTCTTTTTTGAAAGCTGATAGTTGTTCAGATACTCAAGCAATTCCTAGCATTTATTGGCACTCATGTTCAGAATATCCCACCACTGGTCCATATCCTGAGCCAGATGAATCCAATCTACACCTTCCCATCCTAATTCTTTCAGATAATTTTAATATCATCCACCCATTTATGCATAGGTCTTCCGAATGGTCCCTTTCCTTTTGGAGTTCCTACCAAAACTTTGTGCACACTTCTCTTCTGTCCCTTGTGTCCTGCATACCCTACCTGTCTCATCATCCTTTTTTTACCATTCTAATAATATGTGGTGAGAAGTGCAGATTATAGATAAAGTGAAGAAGGGGGCAATGGGCACGGAATGTAGCATGCATGGGAGAGGGACCATATACAGGGTTTGGGTTGGAAAATCAGAAGGAAAGAGCCCACTAGTAAAACTTATATGCAGATGAGAGGATAATATTAAAATGGATCTTAGAGATGTATTTTAGGGGCGATATGGACGGGATTAATCTGCCACATAATATAAATCAGCGGCGAGGTCTTGTGATCACAACAACGAACTTCCGATTTCCATAAAATCCTGGGAATTTTAGTGGCTGAACAACTTTTGGTTTCTCAATAAGGGCTCGGCTCCGTGTAGTTGGTTACTCGCAGTTAAAAATTGTGCCGATTTCTCGGCTTCCTAGATCTCTGTTGGCGTAACTAGTCTACATAATCACCCACGTCCATAGTGGATCATAGTGATCAATTTATTTACCGTTTGGTTTCGGATTGTTCACCTAACGACCTGATTAAGATGAAGTTATTCACTTAGGATATAATGTATAGTTTGAATGCACAAGGGAAAATCTCGTTAAGGAACTGTAACATGACAGATTTACTGATATTGTATGTGTAGTAACTCGTAAAAGTAATACGGTATATATGAAAAGGAGCCAATATGGACGCAATAAAGGTGGAGCCTGATTCAGATGGCGAAGCAGCAGAGTTACATGTTTATGACCAGGAAAATGTCTCTCAAGAGGATGGAGTGCCACAGCCTTTTGCATTTGCAGCAGTGAAGGTGGAAGTTGAGGTGAGAAACTCAGAACCTTTAACACATTAAGGACCGGCGATTTAAATATTTAAATCACCCCGGGGACCGCCAATATTAAACCTACTATCCTAACACTTGCACTGTTCACTTTAAAAATTAATATAAAATCTCCTAACTAAGTTTATGAACTAAAATTTTTGGAGAACACTTACTAATGCTCCTAGAAGTGCTTGAGGGTGTGATATTTCTGGAAACATTCCCCTTTGTGAAGTGGCATTACACAGAACTTGCAAATGTAGACATACTCCTATTTTTGAGAACTGAGGAAACACGGCATTGCCTAGAAGGATACTTCCCCTTGGAATGTTCACTCTTCACAGTTTTCACGAGGGTATGTTTCCACATATCACCCGAGAGTCGCCCTGGGGAGTGCATATGAGGCCTGCATGGGGTGGGAGTTGATGGGTCCGGCCGAACTAAGTCTGTGTCTGACTCTGGTTCTGCCGCCACCATCTGGTCTGTAGCCCAGGCCTTTGCCACATTCATCAGAAATGCTTTGTATTTCAATTCTGAATCAGGGTTTAGGTTTTTGTGAATTTTTTAAATTTTTTACTGTCCCTGCAATGTTATTACCCCATTATCGTCAGAGCTACTGTCACTTTTACTGTCTGTGGCCACAATTCTTTGTTCTCCGCTGTCACTGCCGCTCTCTCAATCACCATAGCTCTCTCAATCACCATAACTATGCATCTCAAAAGGCAGGTCAGCTGGCTCATTGGAGAAAAATTTGTCCTTGTCCATACCCCACCACTAGTTAGTTAGTTATTGGAGAGGGTGGGTTTCCCCATGCACTTAGACCAGTATTGGTCCATTGTGCTTCCCTCTATGATATTCTGCCAGTCTCTATACCCTACCGATACTTGTGCTTGCCATCAGTCCCGACCAAGCCAGCGAGTTCGGCCCCTACTGCTTAGCGGTATCTATAGTGCTTCCCCCATCTATCAGAGGCGTTAGAGACTACTGTTGGGCGGGAAATGTCCTTGAATTTTGCTCAGTGACCTCCTTAGGAGATATGAGGTTCTTTTACATGCCGTAAAGCTACGACACGAGACCCACGGCTTAAAGTCCCTCCTGGAGGACTTGTTCCCTGAATTTTTCTGCCCTTAAAAATTCCACGACCTCCGCTGGGTTTGAACCCGTGTACTACGAGTCATGAGGTGGGAATGTTACCTCTAGACTACGGAGGCCGCTTACCCCACCACTAACTACTGGCTGATACATACAGCTCGAAGAGCAGCAAAGCATTTTCGTTTATAGTGACTTAAGAAAACAGTGAGGTCAAGTTATTGACAAGTAAGCAAACATTCCAGAGTTTTATTATGCCATTGCGTGCAACTGGAGTGGTGCCAGAGCAAGGTGTAGTGTGTTACAAACTAATGTGTCCTAAAAGCATGATATCATGCGACTGGTCCTCAGTGTGTTACGTTTCATCATTATATCTTAAGCGCCTCATATAACTTTAATGTCTTTTATTTATTAGTAAAAAGTATCGTTGCTAATGAAGTTAGGGTGGTTGTGTTATTGCCTTATTGTGGAGAGATGGTTTGCGCACCCCAACTACCAGGAGAGCTATGCTGGCAGTAACATAAGCTCATGGTAGTGCCACCAGTGACAGACAGGTCAAAGGTTAGGGGCCAGACTAATTTTAGTCCCTGGTCCTCCAGGTTTTGGGGTTAGGAGTGGGACTAATGACCCCAGAAAATTTACTGTTGTGAAACTGTGGAGGAGGCCAAGACCCATGCAGGGTTGTAGTACCATTGAAGATGAGATGTGTTATTACATTAAAATGCAGGTTGCAGCGTGGATCATTCACCATGTCATGTTCCATTGCTCTTGCTTATCTGGCACAAGTTCTCATGGTATATTTGGTATGTTAGTGTTAATGTGGCACAGACTTGCCAACTTTTATAAGAGTGCTGGAAGTGACCCTATTCTGCCTACAAATATGCTTTGCAGTGCAAACATTTAAGTGTTATTTTATGCTGAAGGGTTTCAGTGGTTTTAGTGTCATTCATGTACACTTTCACCTTTAAATTGCCCAAGAGGTAATAATCATTTGTTAGAGGTATTTACTGGAGAATTAGCATGCTGAAAATACTGATATTGACTTTTCTCAGCTGTCAGTTGGTTGAAGAGGGAATCCAGTGTATTGTACATTTACCAGTCTTAATTTATTATACTAACAACAATTACAACAAAGATGGGCCAATAATTCACCATGCATATGCAACACACCACCACACCCATACTGTTGCACACTGCAATGGCAGTTGTTTAATGGTATGAGGGTTTTCTTCACTCCTCATTCACATGTACAAGAGTAAAACCATGTTGTAGCAGATATTCAAAAGAGAGTGTCTTTTGACATATATACGTACAAAAGTATTCAAAAGAGAATTCTTGATGTGTAATCTGGTTATTTAATAATCATTTGTAGCCATTATTTTATATGGGCAGAACTCCCTAGAATAAAATGATGTGTATTTGTATACATTTATAAGAATAAGCATCAGAAAGTGCCAATTCCAGGAGTTCTTACAAAATATGGTAATTTTGTGTTGCCTCTTTACTGTAAACAATTTGAAGTTCTGTGTAAAGAGAGGTAGAAGCTAACGGTAAAGTTATCCCTGTAACAGGCCGTGGAGGCCCATAGGGTTGTGAAAGGTTGAGGCTCACACATCTTCTAGACATTTGGCTCACAGATGGTGGTATGGTTGTCAGCCTTACGCACTCGCTGCTTTTTACACCCCAGTAAGATTCCTGGTACTCATTTCCATCAGAGGCTGAGTTGACACCAGGGCCGTATTGTGGCTGGAAGGATTAGGTAAATAAAAAAATCCACCTCATCGGGACTCGAACCCACTTGTAGCATAGGGCCTCAACCAACTACGCTACCATACCCCATGTAAAGAGGTAATCATTGGTGCATGTATGGAAAAGCCCTGGGCTCTTGTCTCTTGAGTTATGCAGTGAACTACTCCTTCACTCTTGGTAGCAGCACCTTTCTATGTCATTTAAATGCTCTGTACCAAACTTATATAATGTCTTACATGAGAATTTGCCTTACTTAAACACTTGAAGAACCTCTGTTTGGTATTTGTGATGCTTAATCTAAAATAACCCTGATCATTTCTCTTGCATACCTGTTGCTTTAGCCATAATTTGTTGTGAATTTTATTGTTAATTCTGAATCAGTGGTCCATTGGCACTGTTACAGTACAATAATTTGTGTATAATATTGTAATATTGGAATTATTTCAAGTACTCACTCACTGGTAATAATGAAGTAAGCTTGTCAGCATGATTGTTGAGGATTGCCTGTTGGTTTTTTCATTGACAAAGAAAGCCACCAGCAGACAGGCAGGATTTTTTTATGGTAACTGTATCTAATCAAAATAAGGAATATACTCTCCAAAGTAACAAGCAGATAAAGTGAAACGTAAGCTTGATATATATAATTCATTAAAAGTATTTCACCAAAACATAAGAGGACTGCAAATCAAAATGGATGAATTGACCTGTATGCTTCATAGTATGGAAATATGTCCACACATTACATATCTTACTGAACATTATTTGGATGATCATAAACTTTCAATGACAAAAATTGGTAACTATTATTTGGCTACGAGTTTTTCGCGTAAACATAATACTGGTGGTGGTGTTGGGATTTATTGTATAAATGACTTTACTTGCAATGTAATAGATATTTCAAAATACTGTGTTGAAAAGAGTATTGAGGGCTGTGCAATACATATGAAAACGGGTAGCAATGCAATTATATTTGTGGGTATCTATCGATCGCCCAGTGGTAATGTACAAGAATTTGTAAAACAAGTTGACATGATTTTAAAGTTTTTATACAAGCCAAAGTTCGAAATTATTCTATGTGGGGATTTTAATATAAATTTTTTATGTGATTCGAGAAATGTGCATCTAATAAGTTCATTAATGCAAACGTATAACTTGTTTTATATTGTGGACTTCCCAACTAGGATTGTAAAAGAATCCTGCCCAGCCATTGATAATATTTTTTTGGACTATAGTAGAGTAAATACCTACCATATGCACTCTGTAAAAAATGGTCTATCAGATCATGATGCACAATATCTGGTGATAAATAATGTGTTTGGAACTCAGTGGAATAAGAATAAACCTGTTAAAAAGAGGTTAATAACTAAGACTGGCGTCATGATGTTTATGGGGGCACTACAAAATGAAACATGGGAGATGACCCTTAGTAGTATGGAGGTAGATGTAAGTTTTACTGCATTCTTAAACACATTTATAGTAATTTTTTAATCTTACTTCCCCATACAATTTGTGATGGATATGGGGCATAAAAATCGATGGATAACTGGTGGAATAAAAGTGTGTAGACGTAAAAGATGCCTCTACATAATAAGTAGAGTAACTCGTCATCTTAAAATAAGAGAATATTACTCCTGTTACTGTTCCATATTAAGAAGAGTCATCAGAAAAGCTAAAGAGATGAACTATAATGACATGTTAACGAAATCCACAAATAAATCTCAAATGTCTTGGAAAATTATAAATAATGAAATTGGTTGTGTAGCTAAAAGAAAGGCTGCTCCGGCAGAGTTCAAAAACAGTGAAATCAAAATTGAAATTAATAAAGCAGCTGGGTTTTTTAATACCTATTTTATAGATTCAGTGGAGAAATTAATTAGTCAGTATCCTAAAACTGAGGATGAGCGGTTATCAACAGTAAGTAGTCTTACCGTCAAATTTCCTGAAATAGTTAATATTCCAATTACATCGTCAGAAATTTCTGTCATAATTTCATTACTAAAGAATAAGGGTTCCTGCAGATATGATGGTATATCAAACAAATTCATAAGACTGTGTAGTAATCAAATAACTAAACCACTTATGCATATTTTTAATCTATCCCTAACCACTGGGATTTATCCAGATTGGTTAAAATATGCCAATATTATACCATGCTTTAAGAAAGGCAGTATTATGGAAATATCTAACTACCAGCCCATTTCCTTATTGGCAGGGTTTTCCAAAATATTGGAGATATTAATATATACCAGAGTAATACAGCATTTAACAAACAATAATGTTATTGTAGATAATCAGTTTGGTTTCAGAAAGGGTGCGTCGATGCGAAAAGCTATTTTTATGGTTACTGATTATATTTATAAAGCATGGAACAATAAGGAGATGGTTGTGGGGATTTTTTGTGACCTCACTAAGGCATTTGACTGTCAATCATGAACTGCATATCCAAAAATTGAAACACTATGGAATAAAAGGATCTCTGCTAAAAGTGCTTGAAACATACCTATATAACAGGAAGCAAAGACTCATTCTACAGACTCAAGACTCAACTACATATGTTTCTAAACGGAAAAGTAGCAAACATGGAGTTCCACAGGGATCTGTAATGGGACCTTTGTTGTTCAATGTATATATTAATGATCTGCCTAGAATTCTAAATGTGTTGGCACATACGGTTATATGTGCTGATGACACCACTTTTATTGTCTCTTCACAGGATATTAGTAGCCTTAATAATAAAATAAATATAGTTATGAGACATTTATATAGATGGTTCCAAGCTAACCAATTAACACTAAATTAAAAAAAAAAAATCCACATAATGAAATTTATGACCCCTAAGGCCATGGACTATCCATTACATATAAAATATAATGACCAAACACTTAAATTTTCTGTAAATGTTAAGTTTTTAGGTGTGTGTCTCAACAATCATTTGGGCTGGGAAAAATACTCTGATGAAGTGATAAATAACTTGAATGTTGCAACCTTTGTGCTTAGAAAACTACAGCCTGTAGTAAGTAGGCAAGTGTTGAAAATAGCTTATTGTGCTTACTGTCAAGCTCAACTTAAATATGGTGTTATTTTCTGGGGCTCTTCTTCGTCATCAATGAAAAGAGTTTTTGTGGCTCAGAAAAGAGCAATTAGAGCAATGTTAATGATGAGGCCTAGAAGTTCTTGTAGAGCGGTTTTCAGAGAATTAGGGATACTTACAGTTCCCTGTTTGTTTATATATGCAATGGTCATGTTTGCAATTGAAAACGAAAATAATTATCTTACAAATATTTTTTTTTTCCCCTTGGCACTACCTCCATGAACTCCGTTCACTTCGGTTTTTCTAGATCTTAGACATACAGTAGGACCTTGGGCAAGTGATCAGCTCGTCGCAAGGCCTCTACCTGTAGACAAACACAGAAAAATGCACACAAACATCCATGCCCTAAGTGGGATTCGAACCCACGATCCCGGCTTCCGAGCGAGCAAAGACAGTGCATGCCTTAGACTGCTCGGCTACCGTGACCGGCCTTACAAATAATTGTACATAAAATTAACACTAGAGTACAAGATAGACTACACGTCACATCAGCTAGACTGTCCATTATACAAAAGGGAGTGTATTATACATCCATAAAAAATTTTAATAATTTGCCACATAAATTATATATTTTAAAGGATAGTGTTAATTTATTTAAATGAAAACTGAAGGACTTTCTTATCTTGAAAGCTTTCCATTCTATTGATGAATATATGGCAAATACCTAATTGTATTATATTCCTATTGTATCTAGGTTGTTTCTATTTGGACTTGGCTGCATATCGCAACTACTTTTAATTAATCTGACGAGCTCAATATCCGGCCCAGTATGGGCAACGGATCTGTGAAGCTATGCATGTATGTATGTATGTATGTATGTATTGCAACTGGAATGTGCTTTTCTGAGGGGTGCGGTGTAAAGTGAGAACACGTTGATGGTTTATGTAATTGTTACTTACACTACATAAACACTTCTGTGCATCTGCATTGGCACAGTCATGGAATTTCACTGTATGTTCTGAATTAAAACCTCGTGACAGGTTCTGTATCCAGTGGCTTCGGCCTTGTATGGATATGCTGGAACGTGTAATAAATACAATACAATACAACACAACACAACTATAAATTGATATGGATCTGTACATTTTATTCAGTTGGGTACAGTAGCAGGCTTTTGTCATGACTATTTGTCTATATGTGATTGAAAATGATTTTTTACTTTGTAAATACTATGCCATGCCTGAAACCTTTGTGACACTTGCAGATTTAACTTTTACTTCCCATAGTAATCATTTGTTTTTTATATGATAGTTGCAGTAAATAGTTTAGATGTGAAATATAATTTTTCTTAGTAAATATAATGTTTTACCACCATTACTGTTAAAACATTGTATTTTATTTGTTGATACATTTGTTGTAATTACATCAGCTGAAGAAGAAATTAAAAATTTTCTTTAATATAGATGATCACTTACATATTCTGTGCTATATAATTTTAATACAAAATCAGTGCAAAGACATTGCAAGTACTCTCTTACATCCAGTTAACCTTGACTATGCTACCATAGAAACAGAATCTGTTGTTGCGCAGTGGGCCATTTTTGCTTGTTGAATGCCAAACAAAACCTGATCCATCTGATCAGTAAAGCCAGTTTCAGCAAAAGTGACATTCTGTGTTTGGCCCCAATTGCAAGTATCATTTTCCTGAAGATACCACCTATGCATATTTATTTAGGGAGATTGTCTCCATAAATTATTGAAATGTAATTATAATCTCTACAGCCATGTTCATGAAAATTGCCATTTTATGTTGTGGAGCTTGTGTGAAAGCCCCCTATTTTTCTAGCTGAAATATTCATATTCATCAAACACTGACCTACAATGAATAAACTCTTTAATATCAGATATGAATAAAAATATGCCCAACCATTCAGGCACTTGTGATGTGCATATTCATATATACACATAGACGGCATACCTAAAACTACTTTTTGCATTCAGAGGGGCTCAAAATGTGAAAATCTGTCAAAATCTGGAGACCAGTTTTGTTATCCTCGCACTACTTTTTCATATATGCACTGTATATGAAAAAGCGAAAACATAATGTCTGGTCCCATGCAGTGTATAGTACATGCTAATTTTAGGCTGAAGTAAAGTGAAATGTATAGTGAGAAGCTGTTAAGAGTAACATCAGTGGAAGCTCCTTGAATGAAATAAAAGGATTTATGTTACAGTTGTTGAGGCTCATTAACCCATATATACAGTATAGGTTGGATTGCTGATTTCTGGTTGTCTCATTCTAGCTGGATCCCCAAGAAGTTGTCGAAGTGAAAGTAGAGCCAGATGTTGAAGAAAGCTTTCAGGACCACAATACTGATAGAGATGAAGTTGGGTGGGTATAGTGTTAATTATATCATAATATATCATTGTATAATATCTGTGTAATATAATAAGATTATTTGTGGGCTGAGCCAAAGCATATTGTTCACTACACAGTCATTGCATTATTTTCCACCTACACTGATGAGTCAACAAGGGTGAAAAGAGGAAGTGGATACCCTCTTACAGTATTCACATGTGATTCATGCTACATATCCTTTGTATAGGTCATGGGTAAGTTTACACTGGGATGTTTGATGCTTTTATAGGAACAGCTAACACTAATATACAGGAAACCAAGACATAGTGGTCGTGTATTAACAGAAGACATGGGTGAAACTGGGGGTCAGCTTGAATATTCACCTTGTAAGTTTCATTAAGCATTTTGCACAAGAAACTAATACAAAGTTTTTATGACTATGGGCGCTGTTTGCAGCCATGTGATTCAGTAGCCAGACTTTATTCTGTAACTAGCATCTTCAGTGACCTCATGATGGTGAAGCTGCTCTGGAGTTGACCTTTTTTTTTTCCCAGACAGGGCTTGGTCTCGTTTGAATGGGCATGTAAACACAAAGTCACAGAAAATCAGTTTATTTCACACTTTGATGTAAAAGTTTGCTGCTCCCCGACGGTGAAGGGGATAATTGGCTGTGTTTTTTGTGTACAGATAATTAATTATGATAGATGTTGGGCAGATGCTGCAGCCATTTTTGAAGCAACTAACAGATGAGGAAAAACTTCGTACTCTTACAAAAGGATTTTTGTAGTTGTGCATCTGCTGAGAATTCCATATAAACCTTGAACAGAGGGTGAAAAAGTTGTAAATTTTACTTTGTGGTCACCTTGTTCTCCTGACATTACTCGGTGTGATTTATTCTTGTAGGAATATTTAAAGATAGGATCTGTTGAACACGCAGAAGAACTCTGAGAGAACGTACAGCTTGAAGTATGCTGTATATCCAGATGGCAACTACCAACTCTTCTCTGTTTAGAGAATGTGGATGGGGAATATTTTCGGCATCTTCTGTAATGTAGGTACATAGACTTCACCATATGAAGTTGCTGCACTTCTACTGTGACTGTAGCTGACTGAGCAGGAAATGCAGCAGTCAACACAGTATTCATGCTTAGCAAAAAGGCCATGCTTTGGCTCAGTTTGCAAATCATGTCCCGCTGTTTTATAGATTTTCATATTGTTCTATTGTGTTAATTATATGTTACTTTAGTGATAAATTATCTGATCTTATTGTGTTTGGAGCACAGCTTTCTATGTAACAAGTCATGCTGTCTACACAAATTCTGAGTAGCACTAATCCTTCATTTTATCCACAGAAACTTTATGCAGGTGTTTGTTGAGATTTCTTTGTTTGAATTATAATTGGTATAATGAATTAGACATTACCACAGAGATGAAATGACAGCAGGGAATGTCATATACCATCAGTTTTCTTTCAAAACAGGAACTTGTGCAAATAGTAGCAGGAGAGCAGCAGATAACTTGTAGGTAAGAGGGCAAGAAGGAGTGTGTAACTACTACTGTGATGATTCTAATTGATTGACAATTGATAATTTATTTAACTTCCATAACTGTTACACACAGACACAATTGGACGAGTCAATTGAAAACAACCAAACACTGCATATCAACAATTCTTAAAAAATCTAAAAAGAAGGTAAGGCTATCCCTATAACAGGTCATGAAGGCCCATAGGGTTGTGAGACGTCGAGGCTTCCACATTTTCTCTTGACAGTCAGCTCACAGATGGCGGTAAGATTGTCAGCCTTATACGCCAGCTGCCCTTTACCCCCAGGAAGATTCATGGTACTCATTTCTATTAGAGGCTGAGTCAACCCCAGGGCCATAGTGCAGCTGGAAGGATTAGGTAAATTGAAAAATAATAGACCTCATCGAGACTCAAACCCTCAACCTTCCGGCTTGTAGCATAGTGCCCCCACTATTAAAAAATGTACAAAATATTATACAAGACAGTGTACAGTACAGTCACCTTTTGATCAGTATCCCCTTGCTATAATTTACCAACCATGAATGACAACTACCACCAATTCAATATAAAGCAATAAATGTACTTAACCACCAAAAACACAAGTCAGCCATGGAAAACAAAGCATCACACATTTAGTGAAGATAACAGTTCAAAGACCATCTATATACTTCCATATCGTATCGAAACTAACTCAGATTACCAAACTATTACCTGTCACTGTTACTAAATAACTCTTGTAGAGAATAAAAACAGTTTTGTAATAAGTAACTTTTAAATTTATTTTTAAAAACCTTAAAATCTTCTAGTCTTTTAAATTTGAAGGGTAAGTTGTTATGTATTTTTATTCCCATGTTAATTACACCTTTTTTACAATGAGCAGTGTTGCATAATTAGACATACAAATCCTGTTCTCCTTTTATGATATACTTATGAATACTGGAATATTGAGTCATATAGACTTTATTCTTTTATGTAGGTGAGTCAAATGAAAACCTTAAATATTTTTTGAGTATTATTTATTGTGCACAAGTGGTACAAAGCTGTATCACTTTTCAACATAATCTCCCCCACGCTCAATTCAAGTCAAAGTGCATGAATTCCTTTAGAAAAAATTCTTTTGGTAGTCTGCGCAGCCACTCATGCACTGTGTGGCGTACCTCTTCATCAGAACGGAACGTCTTTCCTCCCATTGCTTCTTTGAGTGGTCCAAACATATGGAAATCACTTGGGGCAAGGTCTGGTGAGTATGCTGGATGAGGAAGACACTCAAAATGCAGGTCATTGATTGTCACAACTGTTGTACGGGCAGTATGGGGCCTTGCATTGCCATGTTGCAAAAGGATACCTGTGGACAGCAATCCACGTTGCTTTGATTTGATTGCAGGCTGGAGATGATTTTTTAGGAGATCTGAGTATGATGCACTGGTGACAGTGGTCTCTCTAGGCGTGTAGTGCTCCAAGATGACACCTTTTTTGTCCCAAAAGACAGTCAGCATAACCTTCCCTGCTGATGGTTGTGTTCGAAACTTCTTCGGTTTTGGAGATGAGGAATGGCGGCATTCCTTGCTCACTCTCTTCATTTCCGGTTGGTGGAAGTGAACCTAGGTTTCGTCCTCAGTAACGATTCTTGCAAGGAAGTCATCATCTTCTCGTTCAAAGTGTCGCAGAAGTTCTTCACAAGCATCAATACATCGGTCTTTCAATTCAGGAGTCAGCTGCCGTGGCACCCATCTTGCAGACACTTTGTGAAACTGGAGCACATCATGCACAATGTGGTGTGCTGAACCATGACTAATGTTTAAACTTGCTGGAATTTCATTCAGTGTCACTCACTATGGCTTCAACTGCTGCAGTGTTCTCTGGAGTCACAACTCGATGTGCCTGACCCGGACGAGGAGCATCTTCCACTGAAGTCACACCATTTGCAAAATTCCTACTCCATTCATACACTTGCTGCTGTGACAAACATGCATCATCATACTGAAACTTCATTCTTTGATAAATTTCAATAGGTTTCACACCTTCACTACACAAAAACCGAATAACAGAACGCTGTTCTTCCCTGGTGCAAGTCTCAAGTGGGGCAGCCATCTTATACTGGTGCTGTGACGGTGTTTGTGCAACTGCACTATGCTGCAACCTGCAGGCCATTCTGCATGCTGTTTGTAGCACGCTTACCAACTTACAGGATAATGGCGCAAAATTTCGATTTTTTATTACAAATTTAAGGTTTTCATTTGACTCACCCTCATATATAAAGCACAAGCTCTCAAATATATTTTAATGGATTTGATCAGTGCATTGCCAGACAACAACTCTGTAAACATGATCCCACACGAAACAATAGAGGAAGCTGTGTTTTCTGTAGATCCAACTGATGCACCAATAGACTGGCTGGTTAGCGATCATGTGATGTGTGTATATTGTAGGTCCATGTCTGTTCCACGGCGATACAAGTAAGAGTGAAAGAATTTGTTCAAGGCAGTTACAAGTAGTAGTAGTGGCAGAAGCACACAAACAAGAGGATAGCAGTAAGCTTGAGGAGTACAGAACACAAAAAGTCAACCTGTCAAGATTTAACATGTGATTTGAAGACTTTATGTGTGCTGTAGAGGACTGATATTGGTAGTATGTGATTTAGGGAGACTTGCAGTTCCTATGTTATAAGTCTGTGAAGACTAGTGGAGTTAGACTGAAGAGAGTAGTGTGGAGTGCTTTCTAGTGTCAAACTCAGCACTAGTGTAATAATTAATTGTAGTTTCGACTTGTAGGTTGTTGATAAATCCAATTACCAATCAGAACTCCATCTTTAGTCACCCATACATGTGACAACTGGTAGCAGTTAGAGAGCATCCACTGCAGAGAGAAAGAGTTCACACTACAAAGCACTCCATGCTACTCTCTTCAGTCTAATTCCACTAGTCTTCATGGACTTATATCACAGGAACTATAAAAGTCTCCCAAAAACACACACTCCCAATACCACTGCACAATAGCACACATAAAATCTTCAGATCGCACGTTAAGTCTTCACAGGCTGACTTCTTGTATTCTTCTGTACTCCTCAAACTTACTGCTGGCTTGCTGTACTGCTCAAGCCCACTCCTGCTGCTACTACTACTTGTAACTGCCTTGAATGAAATCGTTCACTCTCACATATATAGCCATGGAACAGACATGGACCTACAGTATACACATATCATGTGACCACTATCCAGCTAGTCTCTTGGTGCATCGGATGAATCTACAAAAAACATAACATCCTCTATTGTTGCATGTTTGACCATGTTTATAGAGCTGTTGCCTGGCAATGCGTTGATCAAATCCATTCATTCATTTCCTTTATTTTCCATATATCCATACAGGCAAAAATCCTAGGATGTGGAAATAGTCCATTTGATTATAGATGTATACATGTAACAGATTACATAAGTCACACAACTAAAATAACACACACCAGTTAACTAACATAGGTAATATAAAAAACAAAACAAGAGCTTATTACAAT